TTTTTGGTTTTTCTCCGGTACCGGGAACCGAACTCACGACCTTGCGCTTGCCAGGCAGGCGCTTTTGCTGCTGAGCTAAATCCCCAGCCCCGCGTTGGCTTTTTTAGATAGGCAAAGTTGCTGCCATTGGATTCCAGGAACTTGGCCTCGAAGCCACAGGTGTTTCAATGTGTGCATGTGACTGAGATTTGAAAAAAAAATGGGCATATGAAAAATGGATGGCTGAAAATCAAAACTAATAACGTTAAAAGCAAAATTATAAATTCCTATCTGGGGATCGGGGGAGCAAGGGGGCTGGGAGGAAAAGGAGAAAAAAAATGCTTAAGATGTGCTATGTGTGTACCAGTTCCTCGAGGATAAACGTATAAATTACTGCTCAGCATAGACTAGACCGCGGCGCCTCGGTTCACAAACTCATCTGTCTCCGTGATTCTGGCTGCAAACCGAAACTGAACCGAATCGAATGTACCCCGAAGGTCAGCACTGAAACTAACCACTGAATTTGGTTTGGTTCTTGTCCAACTTGGTTTGTGACCAGAATCATGGAAAAAAGAATCAAGTTTGTAAACAGGTACCACTGCATTAATAAAAAAGTAAGAAAAAAAAATTAAGCTTTCTTCTGATATGTGGTAGCGAGAGCATGTCATGTGAGTGTTTCTGATCATGACAAAGAAGCTGGTGGGCTGCGGCTGTGGGGCCCCCGGGCACCAGTGTCTGCACTGGGAGGATGGTTCGTGGTGGAGGGGCTCAGGAGACCCCCCAGGCTCCACACAAGTCCTTATGGCCCCATTGTGTGGCAGCAACTTTGTTCTCCCAACAGGATCTGTCATTTCAGCCGTCACGGTAAATCCCAGCTCGCGTATAGGTGGGGAGATGGAACTGTCCAACGTCCCAGATGTTCAGAGTGCCTGGAGGGCTCCTTTCCTTGTCCCCTGGAGACAAACCTGTAAGTCAGCAGGGCCTCTAGGGGAGGGGACAGGAGGAAAAGATCTTCAAAGACAGCCACTGGGTGTAGCAGAAAGGGGCACAGTGTCGCCTGCACTGCAGGGTCTCTAGACATTCTCTTGTAGCATAGGGAAGAGAGCTCCACCCAGGGGGCTGACAGCTCCTGCCTCCTGAAGGACAGGCCGCCCGCCCCCACCTCTGGCCACCACTGGCACCTTACACGAGCTCTTTGGGGCCCTCCATCTTCTGATTAAGTCAGGCTTCCCCAAGAAACAACCAGCAGGAGATTGTAGTTATAGATCAAGAGAGAGAGCGGAAGGAATTGGCTCACGTGATTCTGGAGGCTGACAGATCCCAAGACCGCAGTCGAGACCTGGAGCCCCAGGAGGGCAGAGCCGCTGGGTGCTTCCAGACCACACCTGCAGGCCTGCAAGTCAGGAAGGTGATGGTGTCGTTGCAGTGTGAACGCCAGCAGCTCAAGGGCCAGGAAGATCTACGGAGCCAGACGCTGTTCTCGTTCCCAAATATCAGAGCGATGCATGACATCATTTGTGTCTACCTGTCAAGTGGACACATCACAGTGACCATTACAGCATCCCACAAAGTCAGTGCTTCCGGGGGAGGGGCTCTGGTCTCCATGGTGACACCAGACACTCTCAGTGACATGAGGCTGGGTCTTACATGCCGGGGGTCACAGCTGCTGCACCATAGCTGGTCCAGCCAAAGAGCCTAGTGTAGTTCTGTGACCCTCTCTAAGCCAGTGACTTTTAGGGTTACCCAGTGACACAGTTTATATCTGGAATGTTCCTCAAGAGTCTCATGTGGCCGGGCACGGTGACGCGGCCTGTAATCCCAGCACTTGGGAGGCTGAGGCAGGAGGATCTGAGGCCAGTCTAGGCTACAAAGTGAGCTCAAGGCCAGCCTGAACTGCATAGCAAGACCCTGTCTCAAAAAGACAAAAA